GGTGGCCTTTCAGGGCACTTTAATTGTCAGAGAACCAAATAGAAAAGAGGGGGCAGGGCTAGAGGGATGGCTTAGCCACTAAGAGCACATATTAAGTTTGCAGAGGACCCCGGTTCAGTTCCCAGCACCCATATTAGACAGCTCACAACCATGTATAACTGCAGATCCAGAGCATCTGGTACCTTTTTCTGGCCTCTGAGAGTACTCACAAATCACGTGTGTGCTTGCACATACACTTAAAAAATAAATAATTTTTAATAAAAGAATTGAGAAGCCATATTAGCTGTGTGCGTGCGTGCGTGCGTGCGTGTGTGTGTGTGTGTTCTTTCTGGTTATGGTTTTTCTAATGTTCATAAAATTACATTTAGATTTGGGACTCAACAGCTTGAGCTCATCTTAATACCTTGATGTGTTTCCATTTTACAAACTGTTATGTATCACTTGCTTATGGCACAATCAATATTTACCTTTTATTTTCTGTCCTTCTCTGCGTAGGGGGTGGGATTTACATGTGCCACATTCCACATGTGAGGACATGCCTGAGGACAACTTTAAGCAGTCAGTTCTCTACTTCCACCAGGTAGGCCCCAGAAATGGCACTCAAGTTAGCAGGCCAGGTAAGGCAGCAAGCGCCTTACCTACACCGAGCCATCCCACTGGCCCACAGTGACTATTTAGAGCACAGTATATGCAGACTGAAACATCAAGGTATCAGTCCCAAGCAGAAAGTCCAGATAGAATGACAGTCACTTCATTTTTCTCTCTGAACTGTTCTTTTTCAAGTAATCCGTCATGAAAAGTAACTATCCTAGAAAGAAGGAAAAAAGAAAAGAATCATTTAAGCAGCTATCCAATTAAACAATGCCGCTTCAGATCTGCCAGTTTTTAATATAGGGGTTCTTCCTCTGTCCCCTTTCCCCTTTTAAACCAGCCAGTTCAGTAAATGAGATATTGTGCTTTGATGGTAGGCATGGACCAGATTAAACTACTGAATTTCATGAGGCTAATATTTCAAATTAGAGATTTCAGCTCACTCAACTTGTTCTAACACACTTCTGCCTGATGAAGCGTTACTTATGTGAATAATTAGCTTGAATAATGTGTGAAAGCAAAAGGACAGCTTCTCAGGCAGTAGTAACTGTTCTTTCCTCGATACTCTTACAAATAAATTCACAAATAAATTCGGAGAGGAAGAGGAGGGTGTGGCAGGTGATGAGGCCATTTCTCCTCCCAAGGCCCTCTCCTGTAACCCCATGCAGGGCTTCTGCAGCCCTGCATGCAATGATGAGCGTAATGAGCAAAGACAGGTACCCAGCCATATTGAGCAGACAACATGCTGAACCAGGAGAATTTGTGTGGAGATAACCATTGCACTACAACTTTACATGTATTAGTCTTGCAACCTAGCACATGAGACGGAGGAAAAACCCGTTTGTGTCTATTGGAGCAACCAGAACCGTAGTGAGTTAACCAGTACTGCCACTTGGATACAGTTTTTTTTTCTTTTTAATAACCTACATTCATACAGGCAATGTTTTCCCTGTGCTAGCTAAGTGTAAAGCTTTCTTCTATTGTTTTTGGAGAGACAGGGCCTCACTCTGCAGCCTAGGCTGGACAGATTCAATCCGCAGTCCAGAGTGGCCTCAAATTTGTGGAAGCCTCCCCACCTCAGGCTTCTGGGTGCTAGAAAATACCGGCAGGAGCCATCACACCCTACTTGTGGGTAAAGGAAAGCAGACAACAAGAACACCGAGGGTTTCCCTGGCTTCAATCACAACTCAATCTGATTCACTTCCCACCTCCAGCCCTGGATATTCAGAGTCTCTTCTTTTGGAGCTAGACTCAGCTGGGGCTTGAAACTGGCTCCAGATGATCTGTACCATTAGCAGATGGTGGAATCTTCTAGGAAGTGATTCCCTAACCAAGTCTTTTAAACATAATGTGCTTTCTCACTCGGCTTTCCCACTTCTTAGCCAGTCTCTCTCTTATCACAAGGAAGAAATGGCAGGAGGGAAGAGAGACCAGAGCAGCCTTCTCTTCCACCTGCACCAGAAGCCTGGATTTTTTTTTTTCCTTTCCTGACATCAGGATTTTGTTTCCTTATCATGCCTCCTATTTTTGAACTATTTTTTTTGGTCAGGAGGAGGGTGTTGTTTGCTTGTTTGGTTGGTTAATTTTCTATGTGTGTTTTATTTGTGTTCACTCACATGTATGTGGAGACCATTGATATTAGGGGTCAATATCACTCTTCACCTTTACAATTTTTATTTTTCACTAAACCTGGAGCTCACTGATGGGTCAGAGAGCCCCTGGGGTCCTCCCCACTTCTCTCAACACTGAGTTAAGAGCACATACCACCAGGCCCTGCGTTGTATGTGGATGCTACGGATCTGAACTCAGGTCCTCATGATGCCACAGCAAGCACTTTATATGCTTCTTTTGTTCTTTTCCTTTTTGTTTTGTTTGATTTTAGACAGAGTCTTACTGTGTAGCCCAGGCTGGCCTCAAACTCCTGATCTACTTACCTCAGCTTTCCAAGTGCTGAGATTCCAGGCCTTTGTGCCTGTGTGCCACAACACCCAGCTCAGGGTTTGGTTTATTATTTATTATTCATTAATTTATTAATATTTATGAGTTATAGTTTCTAGCCAAAGCTGTTCTCAACTTCTCTACTGAACCTACAGTGATTCTTCCACCTCTAACCCCCAAGTACTAGTAGGATTGCTGTCCCGGTGGCACATTCTTGCCATGACATACGGTGGTGGCACAGTGTTGTCAGCACCAGCAGCTGGTGATGCTGGGACCAGCTGGTGATCCTGGGGGTCAGCTGGTGAGGCTTAGGTGAAGCCTAAGGATTTGTATACACTAGGCCAGCACTCTGTCAACTGAGCTACACTCCCAGCCCTTTACCTTCGTTTTGGTGAAACCACTTTTCCTCAGTTGTAGCTGGTGATTTTTTTAAAAATTGTTATATCTCAGTGTTCATGCATATAATGTGTAGAGGTCAGAGGACAACCCGTGGGAGCTGGTTCTCTCCTTCCACTGTATGAGCCATCAGATCAAATTCAGGTCATCGGGTTTGGTGGCAGGTGCCTTTCCCCACAGAGCCTTTCACTGGCCCTTATCTGGCGACACTTGGTTTTTAAAATATTAGATCTTCACTGAGGATCCCACGAAAGGAACTAAATGAATTTGGATTGGAAATGACCGTGTCAATCTTAACCAACCATTCAACTGTTTTGTAAGTAAATGATGAATGCTAAATTTTTCTTAATTAAAAAAAATAAAACCTGACAGACATTTCCTGTGCTCTTCTAAATTTATGTTTTTTAATATGAGAAGCTAAATAATTTGTAGAATCATTTATATGAAAAAAAAACATTTTTAAAAATCCCTGCCAAAACCCAAAGTAAGATAGTTGCTCCACAAAAATGGAAATGTTTTTGTTTTATTTTCTTGTCTTGTTTTCATTCATTTAGTTCGTTTATTTTTGTCCTTCCTCAGCTCCTTTCTAATAGTTTCCACTCCTGGTCCCCTCATTTTCTAGGAGTTTTGGCCTTTCAAAAAAAAAAAATTAACCAATATAAGCAATTTCCATCTTGCATCCTCTCCTTGCGCTGAAATTTCCAGTGATGGTGCGCAGATGAGATAACGATAATCTAAATGTTATCTCCCAGATACAGCTCCCAGATCTGCTGCCCGGGATGAAGGGAATGAGCCGCAGAGGAAGGGAGATGATGCAAGCACGCACCGCTCAGCAGGGCAGTCACTGAAACACAGTCTTGAGTCTGCACAGCCCTCTCTGCAAGGGCTGTGTTGCGATCCATCTCTTCTTCCCTGATACTTTCCCCATCTCATCAGAAGTAAGCATCACTGAGCTGCCAGCTCGAGCTAGACAGCAAGACTTCGTCTTAAGTACACAGCAAGCAAACTGACCACCAGGACAGAGATAACAGTCCTTGGCAGGCAGGGATGGCTAAGATTGCTTCACAGCGATTCCCCCGGGGAAGATCCAACAGATATCTAGTCTCCCTCCATTCTGCTGTGAGGACACCGAGCTTCGGGGAGATGACGTTTTCCAAGGATCCAAGGCTGAAACCCACATCTCCTGGCTTATTTTATAAACCAAAAAAACAGGCAAGGTAATCGTGCAGGCGGAAACAGGTAGCAAAGACAAGAAGATTGTGCACTTTAACTATTAATCTCTTCCACTGAGATATCCCTCCTGCGAGGTCCTGAGAGGAACCCCTTACCTTCAAGATGGGGTAGCATCCGGCTGTCCCAGAAAAAGGACAGAGAGCCTATCAGGTGTGTGTAGTGAGTGAAATTCCTTGCGAGATAGGGTGGGTAACTAACACAACGGAGGCCCCACCACTCTGCGTTTCAGTTTAGCAGAATCCACGCATAGAAACCCTTGGCACGCGTCAATGTGAGAACGGCGCTTAGATCAAGTTGCCGGCTTATTACTGGTCAACTGCAAAAAAAAAAAAAAAAAAAAAAAAAAAAAACTTTTCTGCTCAGATTGCTCTTTCCACAACCCACGGTGGCAAAGCCCAGCGGGAAAGCCTTAACTTGAGGCTCCCGCTTGCTCGCTTCCCTCTGGGCTTTCACTAACCACCTGGTTATTGGAGTGACCCCTGGGCAGGAATCCTGAGAACCGTGGCGTCGCGGGAGCGTTTGATCAGAGTCCCCTCGAACCAAGACAGAAAGGCGTCGGTCCCTTGGAGCTGCGGCCGACGGCGGGCAGGGAGGAGCGTCGCCCAGCGGCAGAGGCCGCGGCGGTACTGGGGGTTGGGAGCGGGTGGGCTCCCACCTCCCGCCGCTCTACAGGCGGCCCCGGGAGGCGGGGCTGCAGCCCATCGCGACTGCGTATTGGCTGTCGGCTCTGGGGAGGAGGGGCAAGCGCGCGGTGATTGGCGGAGGCCGGCGCCGGAGGGGGCGGGGCCTCTATAAAGGCTGCGTGGCTGTCGCGGCGCAGGCAGTCGGGCTGTCCGAGCGGCGCGGCCGTGGAGCACCCGGGAGCGGGCAGTCGTGGGGGTGGCGGGGACGCGGGCGGCCACTGCGTGGGGTGCAGGGCAGGCGGCCTCGCGGCTGCGCCTTCCTCGCGGAGCCCGAAGCCGACTTGGAGCGACTGCGGGGAGGCGACAGCCCCGGCGCACACCCGAGAAGAAGAAGCGGCGGTGGCGGCGGCGGCCCCAGCCATGCTGTGCTATGTGACGAGGCCGGACGCGGTGCTGATGGAGGTGGAGGTTGAGGCAAAAGCCAACGGCGAGGACTGTCTCAACCAGGTGAGGGCGACGATCGGGAAGGGGATCCCCGCCAGTCCCCGGGAAGCCTCGGGGCCTCGGAGATGCTGCTCGGGAGCCCGGCGACGCTGCAGCAGCGGCCCGAGGAGCGCTCCCCGGACGCCTGGCTCCAGCCGCCTCCTCCTCCTCGCGGGCGTGGGGGAGGGCGGGCAGGGACGTAGAGGACGCGTACGGTGGGGGAGCGGGGTCCTGGGGACCCGGACACTGCCGGGAGCCGCCACCCTGCCTCCTCATCGGGTACTTTTCTAAACAGAAGGTGGCCCCGCACACCTGCCGCAGGTATGTGCGCGATGCCGCCCGTGGGGTCCTCGCAAAGCCCGGCAGCGCCACCCGCGTCCCGGGACGGGGTGGCTGCAAGCAGCCTCGGGCCCCGGGGTGCCCTAGCTGACCGGGTGGGCCCGTGTCTCCAGTCGCTTCTCAGAAGGGCTGGTTCACCTAACACTCCGGGCTTGCTTGGGGATCCAGACTGTCCTGGGAGATTTGCAGAGAACCGTCCAGCCCGTCTCCGATGTGAGGTCTTCACTCGTGTGTTTTCTTCAAGAGTGACGCAGGCTCTGATCAGTGTGGGCACGTTGGCTATGACAGACACATTTGACATCCCCCCCCCCCCCAAACCTTGGGGACCTGAAGACCTGAGCTGTTTGGAAAGCCGCTGAAGCTTAGCTGACACTTGTGGCATGCTTCCTCAAAGTGTTTGTGTTTTTGGAATCCAGATGGTTAAAGCTGTCCAGATAATAAGTTGCCAAATCAGCTGTGCAGATGGTGCTGGTGCCGGGAATTCCAGCAACTGGAATAAGAAATAAAATACCCTGTGGGTTCTTCTTTGTCAGCCTTGAGGGAAGTCTGGGGGGACCCTTTTCCCTGTGCAATTGGTCATACTATAGAAGTATTTAAGCAAGGCCACGCCTCTTCTGGAGGGCTGCTTTTTTGGCCTGGCTGGTACCTTAAAACATTGTTTTCCAGTCTGTCACTGGACTTAAAACGAGGTAAAACTTTGTAAAATTAGTTGCCAGTCCTTCACTCAGATGGCGCCCTTGAGTTTGCATTGCTCATACCCGATGCCTTTGTTTTTAGGTGTGCAGGCGATTGGGAATCATAGAAGTCGATTATTTCGGACTGCAGTTCACGGGTAGCAAAGGTGAAAGCTTATGGCTGAATCTGAGAAACCGGATCTCCCAGCAGATGGATGGGCTGGCACCTTACCGGCTTAAATTGAGAGTCAAGTTCTTTGTGGAGCCCCATCTCATCTTACAGGAGCAGACAAGGTAAGCGAGGCCGACGGTAAACCACAGTCAGGTCCCCTCTGATTCCACTTAGAGGTGGCCACTGGGCCCTCCCAGAGATGTTCCTGGGCAAACTGACTTGGTGCAGAGGAAGTTAGGAGAAACTTCATTTCGTTTTTCAAAGCACAGTTGACCCGGGTGGGTTTTCCAACGCTTGTTCTGCGTCTGTATGATATTGGTGGAGAGCAGGGTAGACTTCTTCAAACAAAAAGAACACCCCGACACCGACTTCCTGACAGCTCCATCTAATGCCCGAGAGTAACCCCGCCTCGGCAGTGTTACTGCAGGTCACTGTGGACTGTTGTAAGGAAAGCAGGAAACAGTTCCTCTTGGGTTACTTAAACTTGGTCAGTCTTCAGCCTAGTGTCAGATTACATTGTGTAGTGGGAGTGCTCTGTCTGGCCTCCTGCAGATTTTAAAACTGTTTTAAAGTTTAACAGAAACTTAATAGAATTCTTTGCAGGCCGCTGTAACTGAATTCCACCCCACAGATATATTAAACATGATTGTTGGGCATTAGATTTTTTTTCCTCCTTGTTAAAATAGGGCCACCAGCCATGGTAAAGAACTGAAGCATGTGGTCTCCTTTTCAAAGGTCAAAAAAAAAAAAAAAAAAAAAAAAGTCCCCTCTTGACTGACTGTTACACTTTTCTCAAAGTTGAACCAAAACAGGAAAGTGATGTTTAATATTTATTACTGAAATGCAAGAGACGACAGTGGCATGTTGAAAAAGGAAAATGATTGCTTTTAAAACCGCAGCAAACGTTGGATCCCAGCATTGATGTTTTCCATACTCCCGTGGCTTGGAAATGTGCCATGCATGAGAAAAATGCGATCCTGTAGATTTCGACTCAGAATCAGGGAACAGGCTCCTCGGAGAGATTTTAACATGCCATTTTTTTTGTTGTTGTTTATTTACTAAACAAATGATGGAAACACTTAAAAATACCATTCATTTAGATTTCAAATGTCCATGTTGCTTTACTGTGGCATTTTAAAGGTTGAGAGAGATTTTGTTTATGAAGGAAACTGCCATAATTAATTTTTAGTGTTTCTGAAAACACCTTACAAATATTCTTGTAATGGCCTGGTTACAGATTTTGAGCTGTCTCTATTCATCACAAGAGGCTCTATCTTTTTTTGAACATTCTGTGTGTGTGTGTGTGTGTGTGTGTGTGTGTATGTATGTATAGCAGGCACATTGTGATGCTACAGTGATTTCAAGGATTCCAGGTGCAACCCAATTCTAGTGACACAAATTTATTTTTGAAATCAGCCAAAACTTGAAGAAGCAAATAACTTCATTTAAATAGGGGAAGGATAATAGCAAATAAATTGTACTGGGAATGTGTTCGTGCTTTGTGATTAGCTGTGGGGTGGTCTCTGCTGTGATACACTCTCCTGTAATTGGGTCAGTACCTATTATCAAATCTACTTTACTCATGTGAGAAAGAGATAGTTATGAATTAGTACTTGAATCAAATTTCCTACATTGGTTTTTCTGTATCGGCTCAATTGTCTTCGACTCTTGGGATTTATAGCTAATGGCACTCAAACCTGGTTCAACTAGGTTATTTCAATTGATTTTCACACCTTTTAAGAAACCCCATAGAATGGTTAGTGTAGGCTGGACCCAGTACTAGGCCTGTAATACTAGCTGCTTGGGAGGCAGAGGAACAAAGACATGGAGGTCTGTCCTGCCTGGGGACAGTGTAGGTTTAAGTCTACTCTGGGAATCCCATGTCAAAATAAGAATGAGAGTTGAGACCACAGTGGTCCGGTGCTTGCTAACCTGCCCAAAGCCCCTGTCTGAATAAAGAAGTGGGGGGAGTGCAGCGGAAACTTTTGAGTTATGTTTATTATGTTGGTGAACTTTGCATAATTTTGTGGAGTTATCCAAAATATAAAGCTTTTAAGAAAATGCCCAAGGTTGATGACCAGTGTGCTTTAGAATCTTCATAAAGTAATATCTAATTTGCATTTATCCTTTTTAAGTGTATGGGTGTTTTGCCCACATGTGTGTTTTTATCTTGGTTCTAAAGAACAAAACCATTTCTTTTTCTTTAATGTTATATTGGTAAAATAAACAAACAAAAAAGCCACACACACACACACACATGCCTGTTGACAAACTTTTTGTTCCATTGTTTGCTATAAAATATTTATGTTAAGTGCTAAGATTCTACACTGGATCTGTTTGTGAAGCAACTGAACATGGCTTTGATAATTCAATGTTAGGAGATGGCTTTACTGAGGAACCCATGAGGGTGCATTCTGTGTGCTGAGGGTGTCTGGACACTTCATCAAGATGAAATAGCTGGGCACAGTTGCCCTCTGCAGACCGCTAAGCAGTGAGCTTCTAGAAGAGAGGGTTTAAAATACTAGTTAATATACTAGTTAGCATCAGACCAGACAGGCTGCAGAGAGGGGTGCAGGCAAGAAGGCCTGGATATCAGGGGACCCTGGGATCCAGGAGGAAGCCATTTTTCTGAAGAGGAGCACTGGCGGGGTTCAAATGTTATCGTAGCTCGGTAGATCAGGCTAATCTGGTTTGGGGCTTCATGTTAGATTTGGTGCCCCTATCCAGATTATTCCATTTGCTCTTGAATGGAGAGCTGGGCTATGAGAGTCCTGCTCGGCTGACTGGCTTGGGTTCTAGATGGAGACAGCAGGTATTTTCAGCAGATGTTTGCCATGCTGTGGATGGAAATGAAAAGGGAAACAAATTAATGAGTTTTGGAAGTAAACGTGAAATCATCATCATCTTAGTAGAAACTCCTGCCTTTCAGGGGCTCTTAGGTCTTCACAATGAATTTTGCCAACATTTTCAAAACCACAGATTAGGGAAGTGTGCGTTTCGTCTGCACAGTGGTGACTGTACTCTCCCCTGATGGCAGAGTCTTTGTTTCTCCTGGCTTGGCCACATTTTCAGAGCTCTGTGGTCTCTGGTAGGGACTGTCCAGTTTAGTGAAGGTTAGCCACCATCTGGGAGTTTCCTCCTGGAAAACAACCCCAGCACATAAACTCCATGAGCACTGAACTGAATGCTCAGAGAATGCTGTTATCCTGGACACAGTCTTTCCTCAAGATTCCTGTGTTGGGGCAGCAGAGGTTAGCTCCCTCCCCGATTCCTAGTCTCAGCTTGTCCCTTGTCTCTGGAATGCCTTCTCTAGCACTGCCTGGGAGGCTGCATCCTCCCAAGACATCACCCATCTTTTTTTTAGAGCTTGAATGTGCTTCTAACATCACAGCTACTTGTGTTCATCGTCAGTTGCTCCAGTGATTGCAAATTCCATCAAAACTGATGGGCACCATATCCTCAGAATCCAGCGAGCACACACTGTGTAAATATCTTGTTAATTAATAGAGTGAGAATTTAGAAGTGTGCAGCTGGAGATGGCTGGTGGTTTAGAATCCTGGTTGCTTTTGCAGAGGACTCAGGTTTCACTCCCAGCACTCCACAGGATGACTCATGATCCAACTCCCTCTTGTGGCCTGAGGGCACCAGACATGCATGTGGGCACATATGTACATGAATGCAGACAAAATACTCACGCAACTAAAATTTTTTAAAAAATTAAATAAAATCTCAAAACAAAAAAGCTTACAGAGCCAAAGCCACCAGCAAACTCAAAGCAATGGGATGTGGTCATTTCAAACCAACTTAGGACCAGTCAGACTGGTCCTAGCCAGGGTCTTTAAGTCAGGTTCAAAGTCTCGATTAATGTCAGTTTTGGTGAAGGTTGTTTACATAATCTACCTCGGCATGGTTAAGGGTGAGTGTATTCTTCATGATCTTGCAACTGCAGCCAGTGTGGCTCTGTTACGAAGGTTCATATAGCTATTGCAAAAGTTCCTTTATGTTCTTTACACTGTATTTGGAATGGCAGAATAATCCGCTATTTCCCCGTCCCTACCTCTCCCCTGTCTTCTTTTCGCTCCTCCACTCTTTTCTGTTTTTACTTGCCAAAATACAAAGTAGGACCCAGGAAAGTTAAACAAACAAACAAAAAGTAAAAGTGTACATGTGTACTATTTCCAAAGAAATTCTAAGTTGAATTTCTGAATCCTACTAAAATTGTTTTCTTTTTTGCCAAAACTAAGGGTTTGCATTGTTGTGTGGTGTTTGAGAACCTGGGCACTTTGGGCCCGTACAAAGAACGTTTCTTAAAAATGGTGTTTCACCCATTCATTTTGTGTGAGGGAGTATGTTAGATGCATGTGATGTGTGAATGGGCAAGTGCGCGTGGCCGTGCGGGTGCATGCAGAGGCCAGAGATGGACAGGTTTCGGACAGACACCAATTGCCATGGGTAAGGACATTCATTTGAAGTGCAGACTTAGTGCTTTCAAGTTACGGTATTCTCCTGGCACAGGCTATGATCTCTCGAGGCTGGAAGCCCCCCGTGGCAATCCTCATATCTTAACTGCTTTAGGGCCCAAGGAGGAGCATTTTTAAGAGTAGTTCTATTTGAAGCTTGAAAGAGATCGCCTTAAGCCCAGGTAGAGACCTGACTTGGTAACTCCATGACAATCTTCTGCCCCTGACAGGTTTTTCTGACTGTAAGCCCCCCATAAAGTAGGCCTGATGGTTTGATACGGCTGGAGCTATTTTATTCACCAGCATTCAGAAACCTAAGCCCTGACGTTTTTTTTCTCAATCTCCTGAAAAATGTCAAACATCAGGGAAAGTTGAGGGTTTTTACCATGAACACCCATATAGGTCCCCCTAGATTCTACTATTAAGTTTAATATTTCCACTTTATTATATAGTTAATCATTTATCAGTCCTTCTAACCATCCATCAACTGGTTTTTTGATACATTTTTAAACAAGTCAGGGGTATAAGTACCTGTCTTCTTAACTACTCCAGTATGCTTACCTTTGAGTTGAAATCGCTGCTTGCATATGGTTCTTCTTTCTTTTTAGTTAAAATTTACATAGGATAAAACATAAATCCTAATTATATCTCTTAATGAGATT